CCGCTGATACGCTCTGACAGCACGCAACAAAAACACATTTCACTTATCTCTGCCTTGCTATGCTACCATCTCTACATGGCCTGTGAACCGGGGAGATGTTTTGTTTTGGCCCAGTGCTAATGAAATCCTGTGTCACTCACATCTCTCATGTGCTAACGGTGAAAAGTAGACACTTGGCGTACTGTTTCTGCTTGTGGATAAAGGAGTCAAGCATCACGGAGTGATAGCAGTAACTAAAGACTACACGTGTAATGGACAGTGTTGTGATCTAATGTAACGTAGGGTGCCCAATATATCGGTGGCATATATGTTATTAGTAAGTGCCGTGGCGACTATTTGGATAGTGTTTTGCCATATCTAGTCTTCTCTTTGGGTCTGCAAGCATTTGAATGGCTGGTTCATGACTCCTCCGATCGTGTCCATCCATCTTGTAGCTGGTCGTCCTCTGTCTCTTATACTTTCAGCTGTTCCAAACATAACTGTATCTCCAATGAACTGGTTCTTCTGAGAATATGTCCAATATAAGAGCTTCAGTTTGGTTGTCTGGGCTTCGAGTGAGAGGTGAGACTTGACTTGGTCGAGGATCTATTCGTTTGTTTTTTTTTGCCATCCGAGGTTCTTTCAAAAGTCTTCGCCAGCACCAAAGGTCAAAGGGCATCAGATTTTAAAAATTGTCTCATTTGTTTGTTGTCCAGTTTTCACATCCATAAAGAACCACAGAGAAGACCACAGCCTGGACAGTTCTGATCTTTGCATTATCTTTTCAAGCTCCTTCAACTTTGTTCTTCTGCATGATAATCTATGTAGTTATTCCTGCGTGCTGGACCCCCATTGATCAGAGAACCCGAAAGCTGTCCTCCATTTCCACATGTTCTTCATCAGTGGGAAAGTTAGTGGTCTTTCTTGTTAACCTTAGTCTTCTTCATATTGAGCTGAGGTCAATATGATCTTTTCACTCTGATCTTTAACCTTCCTTTTAATGGCCTTCAGGTCTTCCAGATTTTCTGCTATGAGTGTTGTATAATCTGCATATCGAAGGTTATTAATGTTTGTTTCACCAATGAATTCTCAGTCATCTTCCTCCAGTCCTGCTTCTCTCATTAAATGTTCTACATACAGGTACAGGAACTCATATGCTGGTAGGCATATATACAAATTTTTCGTGATCAGTGGTTGTTATTTATTTTATCTGCATCAAACAGCAAATATTATAGAACTATATTAAATATATATATATATATATATATATATATATATATATATATATATATATATATATCTTGCTGCTGTTGGAACAAAACCTTGTATCTCCAAAAAAGGTAACTTTACAGGACAAAGAACAATGTTCTCAACTTTTAATGGAAGTATATGGTGAGATACCTCTTTCCGAGTCATTTTGGACCATTTATGTTGGTCCATTCATCATGAAATTTCGACACAACATAAAGGGCAACTGCCATCTTCAATTTATGTCAAAAAATGAAAAATGACAAAAACTGAGATACGAGGTTTTGTCCCAACAGCAACGAGAAAGGGTGATAACAATGATACAAAGAAGAAACAATACAGTTAAGAAAAAGTCACAAAATTTCTCAAAGTAAAATAAAGGGTAGATATCAGGAAAAACTCAAATATGTCTTGGTCTAAAATATATGACACACATGTTTAAAAGGTTATGATGGCCTAAACAATCCAATTAAGGTGAATAAATTACAGTCATTGGCACACATTTTTTAGGCAACAAGTTATTTTTATTTTTATCATTTTTATCATTTATTGATATTGGTATGATTGAAATTCCAGTCAGGTTGCTGCCAGCTTTTTTTGTTCGTGTACACAGAATTGTGGTGGACGTCGCAGTTCTTTTCTACTGTTTTAATTGATTATACTTCTTAATTTTGCCTCATCTTTGAATTAGACATAAAATTACATACTAAACTTGCAAACTAAATTCTCTGATTGCAGCTGTGCATTGACATGTAGACTTGAGAGTCGACTCAAAGGAAAAAGCAACATCTCAAAAAATGGTTTGCCTAACTTGAGCTGATTTCTAGCTCCCTTGTGTTTTCTACCTTTAAAGTGGCTTAAGGATCCTGAGTTAAGTATTTCTGACGAATGTGCAGTTGGTCCCAGCTTTCTTCCACTAATGTAAACTGCAGGAACGCTGTGCGTGGGCCAGGCCGTCTTTTAGGACTTTGTTTGGGTCTCTCGCACGACTGGGCATTTTTCTTGTGAAACAGTGTTAATCACAGAGCATTAGTGATCCTCTGAAGTTTGCGAATTCTTGAGCTGGAGGTTCTGAACATGATAACGTGGCAGGTGATACATTAAAAACAATATATTTCTGTTGTACCATGTTTTGTAAAGATATCAATGAGATTTTCGTGCAGTGTTGCGAGAATCACAGTGGTATTAAATTTATTGGTTTAAAGGTTTTAGGGGATTAGATTCACTAGCCTACAGTCACATAGCACATAACTCTAGCAGTGCTGAATTTAAGCTAAAGTAGAAGAATCATAATATTTCAGAAGGACCCATATCCTACACTTCTTGCTCCAATTTTTAAATCCATTTGTGATTTTTTTTTATGGCCTTATGTTGCTTTTCCCACATATTCCTCTTTAATAAGTACATGCAGGTTGTGACATCACAACCATGAATGAATTCTAGGCTGTTTTTGCAGCTTTGTTTGCATATATGGACTGTATGGACCCAGCACATTTTTAACTCTAACAATGTTTACATACTACACACTATGTGTCCAAAGGTTTGTGGACAACTACTTGTCTGGCGATTCTTCTGAAATGAAGGGTATTAATAGTGAGTTTGTCCTCCTGTAGTAACAGCCTCTACTCTTCTGGGAAGGCTTTTTTTTTTCGATGTTGGAACGTTTGCTGTGAGAATTTGATTGCATTCAGCCACAAGAGCAGCAGTGAGGTCAGGTACTGATGTTGGATGATCAGTTCTGGGTCACCATAGCTCATCCCAAAGCTACTGGATAGAGCTCCATCACTCCAGAGAATGCAGTTCCACTGCTCCACAACCCAATGCTGGGAGACTTTATACCCCTCTAGCCCATGCTTGGCATTGGGCATGGTGACCTTAGGCTCATGTGCAGCTGCTCCAAAGCGTCCCATTCTATTGGCATAGCTTTTTATAGAGGTTATACAAGTTGTATCTGCAGTGATTACACCTTAAAATAGCAGAATTGGCTAATTAGAATATGTTTGGACATATAATGCACATCAAATTCTTATTTAAAAAGGAACAAACAGGCTGTAAGTCTTTGAAGCAGCTTGGTATTTAGAGGGTTTTAGACACCAAAAAGCTCTGAAACACTTGTAAATGTACCACCTTTGTGGTAAATTGTGCATTATTGATACTGCACTTCCGTTTATGAGATTAAGGCAGAAGACACACAAATCTCTGCAGATTCTTTTCAAACCAAACCAAACCAGCCTTGAGAATAAGCTCACTGGTGCATGAGGGTGCATGATTGGGACACTGGCAGACTGCTGACATTGTCACTGATATAATGGGGAAATGTTTGACCGAGACATAATTGCTGTGATAACATGGACGGCTCTGTTTGCCCAGCCGTTTGTTGAAGGCCTGTACTTGTTTCCGCTCACTAATTCATTGCACAGAGTTCTATGGTCACTGCTTGTGAGGCCTGTAGAGAAGAGTTGGGTCACCTTCTAATGAGAGTTTTTGGCCCGTGAGTAGGGCTATCACTACTAAAATTTAGACCAATACCAAGTTTGGTATCACAATGTCTGATTTCCAAACAGTACTATGGCAATTAATGTCCCTCATTATAAATTTGATACAAAACTCTCAGATTTTAAATAAATCAAATAGTAAGACACGCAATATAGCTTTCATCACATATTTAATACAAATAGAAACAGGGTTATATCTTATGTCAATTGGTTCTCAAAAGAGGGGAATTCCACTGTTTTTGCAAAATTCTGGCGTAATTAAATGGTTTATATGTAAACAGTCATTCAGACTGGTTTGATGTGAAATGGTTCATTGCAGAGAAACTTATGGAGTCAGAATTGTTTACAGTGGTGGTGATAGGAACCAGACATCTGAAGAGTTTAATGCCTCTAAAAGGTCCCTCACAGAAAGTTATCACATAACACGGTTCTGAATATGCTGCTTGATGCCTGAGACATTAAGACATTGTTTTACAATAGTTTTACAGGTTTTGACCTGATTTTTTGTTAAATTTTCAAGACAGAGAGGTTCATGCATAGTGTTGTAAGACAAATATAATATATATATATATATATATATATATATATATATATATATATATATATACACACATAGATAGATGGATAGATAGATGATAGATAGATAGATATTGATATATAGATAGATAGGTATATATATTTATATATGTATAGAAATATACTGGAGCTTATCCCAGGGGTCTTTGGGGAGAAGGCAGGAAGCACCCTGGACAGGTCACCAGTCTATGACAAGGCACATGGCTGTATTTGTGTTGTGGACATTGTGACCCCTGGTTCCCATCACCACCACTGGAAATAAGATAAAGAAATCTCTACAATCAACCATTTCACATCAAACCACTCTGGATGACTACTTTGCCTCTTATTGATCAAACTACGCAGAAATTTAGAAAAATCTGTGTAATTCCCCTTTAAGGTCATATAAGTAACTGAATTCTTTACTTGTATATTTGAGATGTGCCCATCTCAGTCAAACTTACAACCTTAATGTAATGTTAGCTTAGTTATTAACTTAAATAAGGAATCGCAAGTTTTAAAAAAGTATTCAATTATCACAGTGTAGTACTGAAAAAGCAGTGAATGTTCGATACATTGTGCAGCTCTATCTGTAAAGCAGTTTGAGCTGATCATCAAAGAGCTACCAATGAAACTCTTTCAAAGCAGATGTTGGAATAGACTGTTTATTTAAAAGCCTTTAGTATCTCCTCTAATCCCTATTTTGTTGTCATTCTTTAACAGGTGCCTTTTTTTGGATTTGGCCAATCACAGAGCTGCATGTTTGAGTCTCCGCCCAGCTATGGAACCCTGGCCTATAGTGGCCTGGGTCCTAATGCTGACTTTCATCACTGACTGGCTGCAAACTGTCCAGTCAAGAGACTTCACAGAAAAGGACATTATTTTCCTCCATCCTTCAAGTAAGTATCTCTACCTTTATCTAGAACCCACCTTTAAAGTCACAGATATGCTTCCAGGGAACTGAATGGTTAACGGACCGAGGCAAGTAAACAAATCAAAGCAAAAAACTTCCCAGCTCTCTTTGCAGTTGTTTGGATTTGTCTCAAAGTGGTGTGTTTTGCTTCCATGGTGGCAGCCAGCAGGTACCTGCTGCTTTTACCTTTAATCAGGTGTGACAGCAAATCTTCCCACGCTGTTCTTGGTTGTTTTTCACATTAATTCAAAGAAATAGTTTGGCGAAAAATCAAATGTACACAGTTATCTTCTTAGCCCAAATGTAGCTGATCGCCCAAGACATGTTTGGTGTCTGAAGATTGGCTTGTTAACACACATTCAAACAATCTGAATTGAAAAGAACCTTGAATTTAAAGACCGTTGGCCTTTTGAGATTGGCTTTTGGGCCCTCAGTCTCTTTCGCTAATAGTTTGCTAATAGCAGAGTCATTTGGACTAAACAGCTAGGCCGAGTGATTCCTTTAAGAACAGACTAACTTTATGCAAATGAACTGAGCGTTGACTAGTTATCAGATTATATTGTGTTAATTGAATTTTTTGAGTTTAAAAAACAATATTCAGCTATTCTGGAGCTCAAAACAAGCATACACATTGTTTTCTAGGCTTAAATTAGTTTCATGTTCAGTTCTGTCTAAATTATTTTTAGCAGTTTAACAGTTAAGTTAACAGTTAAACAGTCTTGAAATTTGGGGTGGCTGCAGCCCCCTCTACACCCCCATTTCCTGCATCCTTGCTGTCTCTCAAATCTGCTTCATGTGGTGGCGTAATATCAGTGTTGTTTTTTCACTAAAGCACATTATTTGCCTGCTGCACCATTTAAGGTGGAATGGGAAAATTCAAACAAGAAAAACAAAAGTTGAACGTTGAGAGACATTTTAAAAGAAACTGTTCTACTTTTGGAAAAGTTTCCTGCTGGAGATGCGAGAAAAGTGTCTATAGCTGAGCTAAAGCTTAAAGCAGAGCAAAGTATGTCTGCATTTTCGTTTATATTTTATTTTTTTAGCCTATACTAGCACATCAGCACATACTGAGACATATTTACAGCCAAGATGGTAAAATGGACATAAAATGTTGTGGCTCCCAAAGTGGTTTGATTTTCAAAAGTGGGTTGAAGTTGGGTTGAAGTTCAAAATGGCTCTTTTTAACATTTGGGTTGCCGACTCCTGTTATAGGGCAACATTGCAAAAAAAAAAATAGAATATGATACTTGAATATTTGTTACAAGATAAGTAATTTAAAGAAATTACATTTTTTAAGGATTGGTAATTTGGACCAGATTAAAAGCCACACTAGTGTCAGGTTTAAAATAAAACTTTCAAAAACTGGTTACAAAGAGTTCTCTACACATAATTTATCGCAATAACAATAAAGCACAACACAAAAATACCATATACAGGGCGTATAAATATTGTAAAATAGTAAATTGGATGAAAGGACATGAGACATGATGTTAATCCAAAAAACATGTAGGACTTCGGAGGTAAAGAAGAAATGATAGCAGACTAGATGGAACAAAAACTAACATTATTAACATTATAAAGTAACTATTTTATGTTAATGTTTCTACTCCAGAACAGTTCAGCATGATTACATTCTCTTGCCAGGTTTTATATGCAAAACATCATGGAAGGAATTCGACTTCCCCTGAAGTTTATCAGAAAATCAGAATGCTTATTGGCCAAGGAATGTGTCTTCAGTTACACAGAGAGATATCACTTCCACAGAGATATCGCTTCCATATTCGTTCACACAGACACACATTCTTAAATAAAGAGTGTACAAAGTATTCATGCAAGATTTAGTAGAGAGATAGTAAGTAACATATACTGGAATTAAAACAGTGTTGCAGTACATCCGGCAGCGCTATGCATTAACTGAGTGTAAAGGCATGAGGAAAGAAACTGTTCCAGAGTCAGACTGTTTAACCCTTTAAAATCCCAGTTTATTACATATGAAGTCTTATTATTGAGTAACTACAACGACTACAGTGCAAAGTGCCCTGTACTGCATGCATTATGAGAGAATAAAAAGAAATGTTTGATTCACTTTTCTTACATAAAATAGACCTAATTATTATATTCAAAAAACATAAAAAAAACATGTGCAGGGGTTCTTTTGGGGTATGTTGCCTTGAGGCAACATTTTGCGTCAATGAGAAACAGTGATACAGACCCGTGTTCCCTGAAGTAGTAAGACCTGGCTTGTGACTGGCTAAATCCATTCCACTGTCACACATTGTTGCTTCTAGGCAACAAACATATTTCTGCAAATTCTCATTGCAAAAAATTTTATACTGGATGTTTAAAAAGTGCCCACTAAGAGGTAGTATCTCCAAGTACATGTATTTTATTGACTCATTCAAACTCTTCCTTTTATTGTTAACCATATCATTGTCTTTAAATATGTATGATGTTATTGTAAAGGCGGAAAATGGGCTTGTTGCCCTGAGGCAACATTGTGCAACAGAGAGTTATAGAAGTGTATAATAAAACTTAGGACCAGTCAGTGGGTCCCTGGCCATTTAAGAGTTAACCCTTGTTAGACTGTGGGATTGAAATTTGAGATGGCACACTATCACTTTTTCTTTTCTGATGCTAAGTAGGCCTCAATAATGTTTTCTCTTTAAGAACTTCTGAGCTTTAAAATGAGTTGTTTTTAATTGGAGCAGCTAAACAGAAAATTACACTAACACCTCAACAGCTAAATATAATATTAGATTTTTCAGAATTTACTGGGTCCACCTTTTACCATTATTGCAGCTTCCATTCTTATCAAGAGACCATGAAAATTGTCCCCATCAGATATACTGACCACCCCAGAGTCCAGACCTCAACATCACTGAATGTGCTTTATGCTTTATGTGATTATTTGGATGGTGAGAAGCAAAAAATTCTAAACCAACTTCAAAGACTGAACTTTGAAGGTGTGGCTGCAGATTATTTTGAGAAACTGAAAGTGAGTCTGCTGAAAAGAATGAAAGCTGTAATAAAGGAGTGGGAAAAAAAAGAAAAAAAAATATTATATGTAGTTATTGAGGATTCTGTTAAGATTAAGAAGTTCTTAATGACAGTGTAAATTAAATAAATAAAGGGTGGTCTGACACAAAAATGATTAGCATTTACATGTTTGCTGGTTTGTCATCTCTAAAGTCCTTTCATCTTTGAGCTTAACGGCGGCCGAAGGAAACAGCTGCTATAGATAAGTGTGGAAATCTGGTCTCAGCTGCTGAGATCGCACTGCAGCATGTGTCTGGCGATATTTCTGTATCGCGGGCTGGACGCTATAGGAATGAGTTTATTGTGCCTCAGCGGGTAGTCATGGTTGTTAATCTCATTAATGTGAGGGGCCACTTTCTGGAAGAATCCTGGAGCACTGGGCTGCTATACTCTTCAAATAAGGGTTCCTAAAGGTTCTTGGCTGGGATGAGCTGTTCTAGGAATGGATGTTTAATTGGTAGAGACACTTTAGGTTTTTCACACAAGCATATCTCATTTACAAAAATTGTTCTTTAAAGAAGCATCCAGTGAAAGGTTCTTTTAGACAGCAAAAGCTGTTATTATATAACATTTTTTGGCACCTTTATTTTTAAGACTGTAGCCTCTCTGTCTTGTATACACTTAATTCGTACTACACAGGGCGACCACAAGGGCACTGTCATACACTGCCCTCCTTTCTCTTTCATCTTGAGGTAATGACCAAGGCCATATTTAGTGACAGTGCAAGTTATATAAGCTACAGTTATCTCCAGGTAAAGTTCTTTTGGTCAACCAAAATGATTTTATACTCAAAGCCTACTTATTAATAAATCAGTAACATAATACAAAAAAATGCACTATAGAACTGCAGAAATATGTTTAATTTTAACTGCTCTATACACATTCACTGTAATTAAAAGTGTAGCTCCATTTTTCATTTGAATTTTTTTACACCATTGAAAATTCTGTCTACCCTTCAGGACTTCTTTAAAAGAAACTGCATGTTTCATTGAAAAAGGCTTTGTTGAATAACAGTCATTGTTTTCATAATTCTTTATATTATTTTTAGATGCTGGCTCTTATTAAAGTAATTAAACTGCATAAATATTGTGATGCACATTGTGTAATTTAATGTTGTTTGTTCCGTATTGCACGCACTTAGTTATATGGCTCAAACTTCCAGTGCAAGAAATGTATAAAAATACTTTTAACAAATATGAGTACAATGAACGTAGCCACTTTAAATGAAACATGCAATTTTTGTTAATGCTGACAAAATCCACAATATGCTGTAATGTGTGTATATATATATATATATATATATATATATATATATATATATATATATTAATAATTGTAAAATATTATATTATATTTATTTTTAAAAGACCACTAGTTTGTAGATATTTCAGTTTACAAATACATGAATACACAAATACAGCAGTAAATAAGTGAGTGTTATAACTCTCTGGTTGACACCTCTAATGTTGGTATATCAAAAAAGGCCAAGTGACCAGAAGAGAACTGAGATATTTGAGCTGTTTATAACTCCATACATGAATGCAGCCACATTTGTCTCAGTGACTTGCCACATGTACTGGATTGTAGAAGCATAATTTTTCCTGCCCAGTGGCTTTTCACGGTGTATCAGGGGTTTGCCAGTGAATCTCTGTGATCTTCTGATCCTTGTCCAAGTTCAAGGCCACAGCTGGCATAGCAACTGCGCTAAAACCCCCGGCCACAATCTCTTTGTGTGGGACTAGCCGTCAGGCCCTTTAATGTGAAGAGAAATGTTAAGATCACATGATGGTGGGCACTCTGTGGTTGGTCAGCGTAGCATCTAGTGCCTGAGGGTTGGACTGAGCCCACCTACTGATGGCTGTCGTGAAGCTCTGTGGGGCAGACAGCGGTATTCAGACATGCTTTTATGATTTCCATTTCTCTTAAAGCTGGCAATGCTGTGGGTTAAAATAAAGACCATTAGTTGACCAAGATGTACATTTCTGTCATTTGGACTTTGCTAGGTTGTTGCACCAGCCTACTCATTTAATGCTGGCATGTCATGACTCACATGCAACTGAAATATTGAATCATTCTCATTTATTTCACAAATAAGTCTACGAGTGTAGATTTAAATGGTGAATCAGCTTCAGTTTGTAAAATCAAGCGCCATCCTACCAGCACCTCATTTACATTGCATTTACTTGAAGTATGCTCTAATTCCATTGGCTGCACTGGAGTTTGAGGTCAAGCACTGCGTGTACTGCTCCCCCCTACTGACCAGACTTTATAGTGTTAAATTACAACAACTGAATAGAATAAAATATACAATAAAAAAAAATCTTTGTTTTTAAAACATGGTAGAATGATGTTATAGCATGCTTGATATTCTAAAATAGCATTTAAATGCTGTATTATTGCAGTGTTTGAGATGCTTCTGCACTAGCTGTGTTCTGAATTGTTCATTTTGTGGGCGGAGTCAGAAAAGCACAGTGTAATATGTCTCTAAATGAAGCATGAAATTGTTGCAGCGTTTGTTTGCACCAATATGTATGTAAAATATGCACATCCACTTTTATACTTGATTGCATGGCCACAAATGATTAATATTATATATTTTATATATTGATGGGTTTTGATTACTCAGTGCATGGAAACAAGCGCCTGTTCACAAGCACTTTACATTTTAGATCATGCATATACATATAATTTATATGAAGCATGCCTTAATTTATGCAGATGCTTTACTATTGAGCCAATAGTGAACCCAAAAGAAAAGTATTCAGCTCATGAGCCAATGGTTGTCCTCATAGGTGGAATTTTGGGGTTGAGCAGAAGATGCACTTTTTTTCATAAAACACTGGCTGCTTGAGCGATAATATTACAGTATAGTACAAAAAAATGTAGTGCTCTCATTTTACAATCAGATTTGACAGTACGCAACTTTGGCTGTTATTCATCAATGTGCTGACCACTGCAATAGATATAAATGATTGAATTAAGGTGGTAACTCAACATGAAGGCACTGTAGAAATCATAACATCAAGGATCAGTCTTTAGCACAAAGAGCCGGACCCCCCAAGATCAGTTTAGCAGTGTGTCAGCTTTCCGGGATCTATCCGGAGATATCCGTGTCCGCTCAGTGCCTCCCCCCATGGCCTCCATGGGGATTTGTGCCTTTGGCTGGAGGGGATTTGATCTGAAAAGGAGATAGACATCAGCAGAGAAGGTCCTAAAGCAAAGTAACAAAGAGGCTAATGAGGTGAAGTACAGTAGATTTGTGTGTTCAGTGTTTGCGTAACCTCTGCCCCCCAGCTGATGCTGGAAAAACGGCAGCTGTACAGAATGTGCTGATGGGTCTCTGACCTCCATCATCCATTGTTTTATTGCAGCAGATGGAAAGCATTGACTTTTTCTCCACTTGGAATAGAGATGCATTCCTTCTGAGTTTCCTGTTTCACATTGGAATTTTAAAGAAATGCTATATTAAAAGGGCATTCAGGCCAAAAACTAGCATCTAATATATTACTTGTCATGTCATGTAATATTCTGTAGCGCAGCATTGCATCCCTCAGCATTATCAGTTTGACAGAATTCACAATTTTGTGTCCTTTTTGTCCATTAGTGTTCCCTCACTACAATACCCAGCATGCATTACCTAAATACATACAACCTTTGGTAATCCCCCACCAGTGGTGCTAAAGAGATCCACTGATGAAGAGGATAATAAATACAGATGTGATGTTTGGCTTCCTCGTAGAGGTCAGCGGGGGACACTTTTTTGAGTCACGCTCCTGCATGCTTCCGCAAGATTTCATCCCGCTCCCAGAATCAATTGTCCCACAAAACTGAAACATTTAGTCCCGCTCCCTCCACGGAGTTCCATCAAGGCGAACTGACATCTAATATCTGACATAGTCTATTCACAAAGACATTATCCTCTGCAAAAATAACACAGCAGTTATGATCATCAGGCTCACTGTGAGTAACTTCACCATACACCATTTATTCCCAGTAAACACAAAGCAGAAATTAAACGACCGAATGGTTATTTTTAGTGTTTTGCTGGGCAGCTGTGGCCTTCAGACCTAAAGCTCCGCCATCTCTGTAAATTATGAGAATTTGCATGTTGTTCACAGTATTGGTTGCATCACAACTCTTTAGAATTACTTCATTCATTTTGACTGTTTTGCTGTTATTCTTTTATTATATTTATATATAAGATTTAGTGATCGTTCTACTTTATTTAGGATGTTCATTTATTTGTGAGAGTTCTCTTCGTGCGTGCTTTCGGCACACAATGATTGCATTTTCCTTTTTGACCAGAATCTCTCTTTAAACAGAATTTGCTTAAAAACTAGAGTGTTTGTTGTAGTTGTTCACTGAAGCAAATCTAATTTTGGGACACCTTGCAACTTTTTGAGTTTTTTCCTTTTTGCAGTGGCTTCATGTTCATCAAAGTGTCCTCCTTGGTATAAAAAGTGTGTGTTAACAGTATATATCAAACTTTTTGGCCCAAAGGTAGATGGTTCAGAAACAGTCCACCAAAGTTAATACAAAACTGCAACATTCCTCCAGGATGATGGTGAAACACAGGAACACAAGTGCAAGACAATACAATATACACAGTGCAGACAATACAGTGCAATAAATAAATATGAAAAACTTACAACAAATACAAAACAGAGCACAGGCAGTACACGGTACTGAGAGTATGTGGAGCTGTGCAAAGGAGGATGTAACATACTATGACATATTAGCAGCTTAGCAGATAGCCTAGCATATATGAGCATAGCAGTCACTGAGGTAGCAACCAGAACAGCAATATACAGTATACAGTATTTGGTTGATACAGTAATTCTAGCAGCTAACAATGTTAAAATGAAGTAAAATGTGCAAAAATGCAAAGTCAGATATTGTTGAGGAAATAAAAAGTGCTACAGTCGGATCTACAGTCATATCAAATGAAGTGTTTCAGTGAAATGCATATAGTAATTATATTTAAATACAGTGTTCCAGACATAATTTGGAACTACAGGAAGTGGGAAGTGAGCTAGTTCCATATTGTTATATATAAGTATATGTGTGTGTGTGTGTGTCTGTGTGGGTGTCCTTCAGTTCAGTCCATGGGAGTTGAGGAATCTGATGGCTTGTGGAAAGAAACTGTAGCCAGGTCTGGCTGTGAGGGCCCGAATGCTGCAGTACCTTCTTCCAGATGGCAGAGGAGAGAACAGTCCGTGTGAGGGGTGTGTGGGGTCAGTCACAATGCTAGTGGCTTTTTGGATGCAGCGTGTGGTCTAAATGTCAGTGATAGAGGGAAGAGAGACTTCGATAATCTTTTCAGCTGTCCTCACTATTCGCTGGAGGGTCTTGCGGTCAGAGGCGGTGCAAAACCTCAAACAGTTATTTAGTTTGTGGTCAGATATATATAATAAGTGGTTTATGTAATGGCTACTTGGCCAGATTCCTGAAGCTGTTGATGGATGCTGGGTGATGGCATTAATTACTGTTTTAAGAGTCTTATGTTGAGTCTTGTTGAATCTGTTGAAATATGAACAAAAGTATCAGTTGAAATAAGAATATTTTGTATTAAATGCATATTCATAAAATGGTATCTTTTATGAAGCACCTAAAAATAAAACCTAATAGAACCCTATTCCCTATAGAACCTTACATCTCACCAGAGACTTCGACTTTGTCCCCTTCAGTTGCCTTTTAATAACAATCTCCTAGTTTCAGATAACTTCACTCCTAGATGAGCTTACTTGAAAATGGGAGGGACCCTTTGGGAGGGAAAAGGGGTGGACACTGTGATGCAAAAACAGTAGCCACACATGCCTGTCCGAAATTCCTTATGATTTCACGTGGTCTTGGTACGCGAACAGAGAAGGAAAGATAAACTTACCACAATGAGAAGAAAGAACAGAGCATAGTTATATCTACAGTATACAGATAGAATATACACCAAACTCATCTTCTGAGTGAATAGCACACCATCCTTATGTTTGTGCTAACATAGCACTACAAATCCCCTAGAAAATAGCAGAAATTAGCATTGTTGTAGCAATGATAATCGGATAAATAAAGGCATAAAACTTTAATATCATTTATATATTAAATCTACGTCAACTTACTATGCAGTATTGACCACAATAATATGTTATTGTGGCAGTTTGAAAAAGAATGGTGTCATTTATAGTTACAAATTATACATTTTTAGTTTTTTTGATTTTTAAATTAATTAAAAATTGGCCCCCATAGTAGTTTATGAGTGTGCATGTCTATTTTGACAGTAAAATGGATCAGTTTATGGAATTGCAGCTTTCTGCTACCATGTTTCCTATCACTGTATAAAGGAACCTTATTGCTGCCTTTATTGTTGGGTAGTTTCTGAGCATGCGAAAGTACATATTTAGAACAGGATTCAAATTACTAAGGGCTCATTATTGATTTGTTTAATCATAAAATGATTAATCAGGCTGTATTTGTTAGTGTAACTTCAAGACTGATATATGAAAATGAACTCTGTGCTGATTGGCTGCCTTGTATTGTGCTTCAGTCAAAAAGCAGTCCGGGATGGAACAAACTATTAAGTTCAGACTGAATTCCTCTGCAATTCCAGCTGTAATGATTCATTTGCTTCCCAACAGCCAGAACAGCACAGCGTTTAATCATCCGCATTTTCCACTCCAATAGCTCTGCTACATATCATACCGCAGGAACAACACTCCATATCACGTCAGCATCAGCTGGCAGAGTTAAACTGTTGTAATGTAGCAAAATGGAGGATTATACAGCAACAACAACTTCAAGATGAATTCCGAAGTTAGTTTTCATATGTGGATCATATGGAGTGATTACTGCATTTTGGAAAGCATTCTGTGCATAAGCAGCTGTGAGAAACACTAAATTCAACTAATTAACTAGTTTAACTCCTTTTTTCCTGTCCTTGCTCTGTACACAGCTACTCCATATCCAGGTGGGTTCAAGTGCTTCACATGTGAGGAAGCTGCTGACAATTATGAGTGCAATCGCTGGGCGCCGGATCTGTACTGCCCACGAGGTGAGTCCATCCGTCTCAACTGGCTCCGCAAAGTCAGGATTTATGCAGTATATTAGGAGTGTGAAGATTCTCCAGAATCCACGGACTAAGGGACGTCCAGAAGATGGAACCGCAACACGAGACGATTGTATGGCGGTTTTCAGAATCGTTACACCACTATCATATATTTATTGGAAGTAACATATGAATCGTTATTAGGAAGGTGTGTTTTTGAATGTCATGCAATGAGTAAATTGTAAAGTTCTGCAGGTAATGCAGTAATGACATACATTTTTAGTTAGAAACAACTCATTAAATGTGTAGATCTATAACTAACTAATAGAGTGCTTGCAGTTCATGTAAATTATTATTATTCAAAATATCAATAACACTTTTGTATAGGGAGATGTTATAGTGCCCTTGTAATGTTCTTATTAAGCCTTTTCAGGCCATTATCTGGCAGCTTATTAGCACTTTATTAAAGTAGGGTCAATTAAACATTTTCCAGGGCACTTATAACTTATCAGTTACATCGTGTTTCATCAGAAATGTTGTATTCTTTTCTCAAAGCATGAATTAGGTGTTTTCTGTTCATTTGTATTAGTATCTCAATAGTAAATCGCCACTTTACTCTAAATAAAGACAACCTGGCCTCCTGTTCCAAAGAGAAAACATTTATACCTAGTTATTGCTTAATAAAGTAATAGTAATGAGCCCAGTTTATTACCAGCTATTGTCTTGATAAGGCTTGATAATGGCATTATAATGTCCACCTGTACTGAAGTGTTAACATAATATCTTCTGTGTTTGGTTATGAGACATATTACTTACATAACTAGATATACCTATATTTAAATATAATTTGTTGTGCATCTAATGAGCCATTTAAATGTAATTATTGTTGGAGAGTTTATACGATCAACATTCCATGATTCAGAGGATTGTATTCAAAAGATCAGTCTCCCCATGCTCATATATTGCCCAGCATTCTGTACCTACATCGGTCATGTCTTAGCTGTGAGTAGCCTCCCTCATAAATAAGGCTGAGCTGCCTTTGGATGGATTTACAGCTCCGGTTTAATGACTCAGGAAATCTTATCCTCCTTCTTTAAAATGCACTTTCAGTGTCACACACTTGTGGTATTACACATGTACTCTTAGAAATGTGCCTGACACAAGTTTTAGTGCAGTTCAACATAATGATTTAAATAGGAGTCGATTCTTTATTCCTGAATGTTATCTTGAAATATGACCACCATGTTTTTTTTTCTAGTAAGCACACTTGATAAAAGTCCAGTTACGTTCACACCAAACAGTGTCCAGACACCCTTTCTAAAGAGTGAATTCAGCTACTTTAAGGTGCACCTATTGCTCACACAAGCGTATGATCTCCATTAAAAAGCTTTGACCTGCTCTGGAGCAGCTGCACATGAGCCTAAGGTCACCATGCCCAATGCTAAGTGCCAGCTAGATGGGTATAAAGCCCCCCAGCATAGGGCTGTGGAGCAGTGAAACTGTGTTCTCTGGAGTGACGGAGCTCCATCGAATACCTTTGGGATGAGTTGGAGTGATCCAGAACTAATCATCCAACATCAGTACCTGACCTCACTAATGCTCTTGTGTCTGAATGCAATCAAATTCTCACAGCAATGTTCCAACATCTAGTGTAAAGCCTTCCCAGAATAGTAGAGGCTGTTACTGCAGCAAAGGAGGACAAACTCATTATTAATACCCTTCATTTTAGAAAAAAAACTTTTGGACACATAGCGTATGTTCATATTAAATTCAGTTTCAATTTCAGATCACATTTGATCCACATACATAATACATAATAGAATACATGACTGACTTGTGGCCAATGAGGACGGGTAGACTTCAGATTTTTTTTTTTTCCCCACACATCACAGTTAACCCGCACACTGTAATTAGATAGGACCCCCTGGATCATAGTCCCAGGCTTTATGATTCATTTTTACTTGCAGAGAGTAAATATTGCTACACGCATCACAAAGTGGACTGGGGTGGGAACACTGTGTCAGTGACCAAACGCTGTGTGGCCTTGGAGGACTGCCTCTTCGCTACTGGCTGCACTGGACTGGACCATGAAGGAAACAAGGTGAGTGACTGAAATGTTTTTATCTGAGTAACATTATTGTTTTATTCTGTCTATCCATCCATCCATCCATCCACCAACCCATCCACCTACTCATCTATCTATCTATCTGTCTGTCTGTCTGTCTGTCTGTCTATCTATGTCTCTCTATCTATCCATCCATCCATCTACCAAACCATCTACCTACTCATCTATCTATCTATCTATCTATCTATCTATCTATCTATCTATCTATCTATCTATCTGTTTGTCTGTCTGTCTGTCTGACTGTCTGTCTATCCAACTATCTATCTATCTATCTATCTATCTATGTATCTATCTATCTATCTATCTATCTATAGTCTAGGCCATGCAGTGTACATATATTCATATATTTTGGTATATTATACCAGAATAAACCTTCCAGGGAAAATGCATAATATAATTAATGTATAATATAATACATAATATAGTGTGGTAAAACCAGGTGTGTGCTTTTAAACTCAAGTTTGCAGAGCAAGCCAATACGCTTCCATTTCACTCTAGCTAATGAAAGGCACCCACATCTGTCTGCTAAATGCACAACACGACCTACACAGCAAGCCCACTTCAAGGAATCTAGTGGGAGGATTATAAACATCCCTGTCCAACCCTACAGCGCTGAGGATACAGCACAGTTAACTCCAGTGTAGTTAATCCATAATTGCCCCGTAAGTGATTTCACCGAGTTAGACTGTCTTCCCCCGTCTTGTGGCCTACTTAATCTTCGCTGAAGGATCTCCCCATCGCCTGAGGACAACGTATGGCTTATACCTACCTTTCAGTGCGGCACAGAAGCTTTGAAGAAGAAAATGAGAGGGAAGTGATGGACAAATGAGGGATAGAAGTGTGGAAAGCTCAGCGTTCCAAAATGAGACACTTTGAGGAATAGAGAATAAGCACCAGCTCTATTTTAGGTGTTCTTGTTTGTATCAGCTTTGTGTGTCACCGTCTGGAATTTAGTTTGTTTATGTCCTTGACTGCAGGTAATCTCCTTCCCTTTCAGCCCTACATTAAAGCATTTCCGCTTTCACATGCCTTTGTGTTCTGTTTCCATTTTGGCAGGTAACAAAGTATTCGGTACAGTATTCAGTAAAGATTCAGCACAACCTTAGTGCTGAGATACAAAAGAACAGAATTAGAGAAAATAGAGATTAGCTCACAAGCAACCCTAATAAACACGCTTAGCCACGCCACATGGTGCCTTGTGTAAAATATAGGCAAAAGCATTACGATGAATGCTAAAAACCCCCTAACTTGGCAAAAGTGAGGGAATTCATGGAACAGTGTAACAGTATTTATGCCGATGTTGTAATCGACCTGTTGGAAAACCTCTGAGAGAAAGGATTCTGTTCATAGCCTTTAAAAATTACTTAGCATTTCTTCGATGTAAATAAAATATTGTAGCATAACCTACACTAAAGTTTTTAACTGATATTTAAATTGATGTGTGAATGACTGTATGTAATTGCGTATATCTTCAAAAAGGTGGTAAGAAAGACGGTTCTTCAACAGTTCTTTAGTCAAGAAAGTGGTTCCATGTAGAACCATGAACACTCAAAGAACCCTTTGCATGATTAAAGGGTTCTTTGCATCATGAACAAGTTTTTCAGATTGGTAGAGAATGTGCTGTAGATGATTCTATATAGAACCTTTTTTGAAAATATAAATATAGCACCAAAAAGGGTTTCACTATTGTTACAAGCCAAATAACCCTTTTTGGGTACTATATAGACCCCTTTTTGGCTAAAAATGTAGTTGATCAGAACGTGATTGGCTGATTCCACTGTCACTTCCTAATTATGCTAGTAGTTAAAGTAATGTGTAAGGACTTCTGTCCAGTTCCTGAAGTCCTAACCAATTGGCTATATTTCCCTGGATACCACATTCTGATTTGATTATTTTCCATTGGGCCTTTTAAAAATTCAACCCTTTTTTTCTAACCAAGACTTAACAATTAATTAAGAATGGTACTACAGTACGTGCTTAAATACAACAAGCATGATTATATTAAATAAAATTAAACTAAAAATAACAGATGATTTTTTTTTATTTATTTTTTTATTTAGGGATTCTCACAGGTGCTAATGACACAATGTGTGCCAGAAATACGCTGTTTTTTTGGCCTAAATGCACCGTAACAAGCTCAAACAGTAAACGAGCTCAGTATATTAATATTTTGTAATTCAGTTTATCAGTTCAATTTAAGTTGGCATTACAAAAGTTTGTTAAAAATATGGGACACAAAATTGAGTCAGTCTTGAGGGTCAGTAATCATGTCTAAGAGTGTAATGTGGCTGTCCTGCATGTTTTTCTCTTTAACCTGATTGGTTCTTGCTCTGTACAGGTGTGCGTTTCGTGTTGTGAGGGGAACATCTGTAATATGCCTTTACCTCGGAACGAGACGGACGCCATATTTGCCACCACGTCCCCCCTCAATGGTGGCCAGCGAACCCCACTTCATCCCACAATGGCACTCTTCTTCTCCGTCTCCACCCTCATCATCCTCAGCTATGCTTGAGAGACTGTGGATGGTGTTTTGTGAGGGGTTTGATTAATTTATTTCTACACTCTCAAAAATGATGTGCTATTAAAAGGAACACCAGCATTTTTCAGCCTGATCTGTATCATCTAAGTCTGCATAGAGCCAGTTAACAGAGATCAATCTATTCATAATCAATTTTAGACATTCCTCTGTACTCAAAAAGCAAATATAATAAAAGCCACCGGGCTGTTGCTTTAATATCTGCCCACTGGCTTCTATTATAAATATGTTTTTATACAAGAAAATGCACTGAAATGATTGCCTGTGGTAACCGACTCTGTCCTACACATATGGCAGATAAAGATTAGTTTGAAAAATGTTGTTCCTTCAACAACATAATTCAGCACAACAGAAATGTGCTGTGTTCTTTTGGCCTTAATGCATCATAACAGGCTCGAATAATAAACCCAATACATTCAGTTCAATATATTATGAGTTCATTTGATTTCATATTAGAGGAATAGTTTGTCACATTTACACTATCTTCCATTTACCTCAGTTGTAGCTGATCAGCCAAGACATGTTTGGTGTCCAAATTTTGCTTCTTTAGAGCTCTGAGGGTAATGTAGCTAACAAACATTAGAATTCAATAGTCACCCAAATCTATACACTTGAATACGAAAACTTTTTATAGCTCACACTAAGTTATACTGTGCTCTAAACCACATCAAAAAGTCTGTGTGACCTTAATGAAGACCTGAAAAGTTTTGGGTGACTATTGACTTACACTGTTTGCTAACTTTGTTAGCCTTGTACCTCCAGCACTAAACTAAAGAAGCAAAGTTTGGACACCAAACATCTCTTGGCTGTTGGACAGCATCTGGGGAAAGTGGGAAATTGTGTAAATTCGATTTTTCACCAAATCGTTCCTTTAAGTTCACACAACAAATGTCAAACGTAAAGTAAGGCCTAAAGAACGCAGCATAAATCCGACACAGAACACAGTTAAATAAGGTAACACAGTGGGCTAGTGTTAACAGCAACACATTTGCTGGTCCAGTTTCGCTACATGTTGCCCAGAACTGGACATACAGATGTGTTTTAGCACATCTGTTCTGACAGTGATCGGCCTTACCTTCCACAAACAAAGTGTTACTTTTGAAATTTTCAGTCAACGTCTTCATTTTAACTCCTTTACTGTGAAAAATATCCAGGATTTTTTACATGTGGACACTTTTTAAAGCAGCTGATAATCTTCCTTCCCTCAAAACTCGAGGCTGTTTCCCTCAGCATGCTCTGACCTGTCGAAATGAGCGCTTCAGCATTTCACCACGAGGAGGATGGAGGGAAAGGTGGGGGGTGGGAGGGGATATTTATGGATTTATGGTTAAATGGAAACAAAACTGTACAGTTGTTGTCAATCATTAATTTAGATGTATAATATTTATTTTTGTACCATACCTTGTGTGTTCTTTTGTAGAAAGTGTGAAAACTGAATGCCTGCATGAACCGTAGGAGTGTGAGCCACATCTACTTATTGTCCAACCCTCAAAAAAAAACAGAACTTCCACCTATATAAAGTACCAGTCAAAAGTTTGGAGACCTCATCAAACGGTGTCTCACTATTTTTAGTATCTTCCACATTTTGGAGTAATAGTGAAGGCATGAAAACTATGAAATAACACATATGGAGTTATATTGAAAAAACAATAAAACATGAAATTTAACATGTGCCATCATTTTTGCACAGGCCACATTTTATGTTTTATTTTTTTTCCGATATGTTAAAATCAGCAAATAAGCAGTAATTGTGCATTTAAATGTGCAGAAGTGGGTTTTCTGTAAGGGGGGGTTAATTACTCTTAGAAAATCAAAATATATAATGTGACTAGGGGTGCCCAAACTTTTGCACACAACAAATATCGCATTCATTTTTTCAGGGATATTTTTCCACACCTCCAAGTTCAGTCTTAGAAGTTAGTTACACATTTTGCCAAGTAATCCCAAACACATTCAGTGCTGAGATCTGAGCTCTGGACAACTTTTATTTCCCTCTATGATAAAAATAATTTTCATCAGCACAGAAAGAGGCTCAGACTCCCTCCTTTCTTTTGAGCACACACCGTTTTTCATGTGATGACACTATTCTGAAGCACTTGTGTACAGATGTGTATGTATGTATGCATGGATTTGTAATATTCACTAATAACCTCTAGCAGCTTGAGCGTTATAGACTGCAGTAAACAGGCCTCGTCTTTTGTACACTTTGTGTTTTATCTCTGTTACACATTCTAACTGTACTGAAGTTTGTCTGTACTGTGACGTTATTTCCAATTCCTTTTGTTGATGGTGGGGTCGAGAAAAAGTGCAGTGTTTGCAACTACAGTGTTATCGTTTGGTGGGCTTTTTCTGATTGCCCGGGACTCGAAAGATGAGTCGCTTCCTCTTTTTGTCTTTCTCTCTTTCTCTTTCTCTTTCTCAGCATAAAAGCCAAGAGTGCAACGTTTTATTACATAAACCGCTATGAAGCTGTGGCCTCTGTGAAACATAAAGGGCATGCTAGTTACCAAGTGGTAACAGAAGGGCTAGCAAAAGCTGTTGTGTCTTCAGTTGCTCAGGTAATTATGTTCCATACACTTAAAAACAAAGGGTTCTCTGGATGCCATAGAAGGATCACTTTTGGTTTCCTGAAGAACCTATTGATGGATGGTTCTTCAAAGAAATAAGAAAGTCCAATTAATGGTCTGTCGTAGAACTGTACATCAAAGGCAAGAACCATTTAGGAACCTTTATTTTTGCCAGTGCCAGTTACACAATGTACATAAACTGATTGCATCTAATAAGGCTTCATTCAGACTGCAGGTTAAAAAGTGGACCTGCTGCTCGAATCTGATTTTTTGGTTTGGTTGTTCACATTATCTTTTTTAATGTGGTTTGTATCTGACATCAGTTTGGACAGATCACACACCTGAACTGACCAGCACGGACAAAAAGAGCTGCATGCTTTAACAAACATGTCCTAAAAGGAAATATAGGCTGTGTTCATGTGGCCCAAATCTGATCTTTTTTCATCAAATGTGAAACAGATTTGTTTTGTTTTTTTTGTGTGTGAACAGCAACTTCCAGTTCCAGTTCCAAGCAAAGCAATTCCAATTGGGCCACTTTCATGTCCGATATGCGTCCGATATGTGGCAATACAACCTGAACAGTCAGATCTGAAATCATGTGATCATAATCTCCATCATAATTTAATGTACAGGAACAGACCCATTACAGCATCATCAAAACATGTTTTTTATTTAGTTTAACTTTCATGATCAACTTAGATTTTTGATTGTCTTTCATGGAGGTTTAATATTTTGTTTTTATATTTTGTTCTGTATTGTTTTCACCATTGGTTTGTAGCACTTTGAGTTTAAGAAAGGTGCATTTTATGTGAAATTTATTATTATTATTATTATTATTATTATTAGACTTCTACTACTACTGCGGTTACGCTTCAGTCATTTAGTTTTGGACGACGAGTGAGACAAACGGGCAGGATAAACAAGTAAACATGCACAGTGTATCCATTGTGGCACAAAAAAATAAGTTTGAGAAAAATATGGTGCAATAAATGTACAGGAGATCTGTCGAAAGGAACCTCACATTCAGAAGCCAATCAACAATTACCACAAATGACCAGAAGATTGTCCATAAAGAAAAGCTGCTAATTTATTATCTTCGCTGCTTGCAACTGCAGAAACGTGTACAAAACATAGTGGGCTTAGTGAGGTGTGAAGGTTGGTTGGCCCCCAGAGATTCCCACAGATTAAGTATCTTGATTGCCGTTTTGGTGCTGAGTTTGTGTCCTTTAGCTGCCATTCTTCACAGGAAGTAAACAAAAGAAACTGAACTTTCTTTGATCTTCTTTCTGATTCAGTTTTTTTCATCCAGTTTTGTCATCAGCTGCTCCTTTAAACTTGTGTCCTCCAAGTTTAAAGCAGCAGCTGACTTTGACATCACATGAAAGTGGTTTGCTAAGGAAAGATGCCTCTGTTGGAGCGTGCTCGGTGGATCAGGTCAGTTCATGAGCGTGATCTGTTCAGACTGAAGTCAGATTAAGGCCACATTAAAAAGATGATGTAAACAAATCAAAAAGTAAAATCAGATTTGGGCAGTAGTTCAGATTTACCTGCAGCCTGAAACATGGAAGATGATCTTGTGTGTGCTGCATGCCAACGTATACCTTTTGTAAAGTGTAAATAATTTGGTTGGAAAGTTTTGTACAATTTCTGTAAATGAGTGTACATAATTTTGGTATATGCTAAAGTTTTTTAACCATTTAAAAAGTTTGCATTGCTGTTGAGGTTATTTCTTATCTCCATCTAAAATATCTCATTTAAACATGCTGTTTACTTCACTGTGGATGACTGACAATAAAAAAGAAACCAACTGAATGAAGTTGACTGATTCATTTTTGCGAGATCACAAAATGGTAAGTGGAAAAGGCCGCTGTGCTCCGAATGATCTGGTGAACTTTATTTGTGGCCCCATGTTTCGTTCAGATGGCGTCTATTTAAGTTACATTAAAGATATTTCTCTGCTATCTGCTGCCCTGCTGTTTTCCATTCAGCCTTTCCGCATACTGATGGTTTTCCATCCAGAGGGCTTGGCCTGGTCCCCATAAATCTGCTTTCCCCTCAACCCCCCCCAATCCAAACAGTCAAGCTCACAGTGCTCATAAATATAACCTCAAACAGTGACGTTAACAGTGGCTCATCTCGGACAGGCTTTGTCAGCTATTCTGACCAAGTTACTGGACACCCCTGCAGGGTGTTAGTTTAACAGTCTGCGTCTGCTTTATCTCCCTGTAAGAAAGCAAACTTGACCGACCTCTTTTCCTGTCTCAGCTTTGCAGAGTAACAGTCAAGAACAAGCCTGAGGGTAAAGTGGGTGTGAGGGGGCCAAGATTTCAGAATCTCGATTGGAAGTTTAAAGGAAAAGTTCATCAATAAATCAAATCTACACAATTTTCCCACTTTATTTTTGCACTGAAGCTACAAGTCCATACTTTTAAAAGGTGGTCCTTCAAGGGTTCTTTAGCAAAGGGAGTCATTCTATTTAGAACCAGTCATGCTTAAGTGATTCTTTGCATGGTGAAATGGTTCTTCAGATTGCTGGAGAATGTTTTGTATATGGTTTTATATAGAACATTTAAGAAAAAGGGTTCCCGATAGCACCAAAAAGGTTCTATTGTAACAATGTCATGCTTGTAACTGTAGCAGACTTTTTTAAAGGTTCTATATAGAACAATATACAACACATTGAATCTGAAGAACCATTTCACCATGTAAAGAACCATTTAAGCATGAACTGGTTCTATATAGAACTTGTGGTTGTGAACATATCCACTGACTGAAGAACCCTTGAAGAACCATCTTTTTTAAGTATGTCATGTAACCAACAATGTGCCTTGCCAGTTAGCATCATTCAGGTTGCATGTCCGATTCATCATGCTTGCCTCAAACCCCATCCTGGTCCTGGTGCTGCAGTAATCTCTAGAGTGAGATCTCCTGGTTTAAAGAGGATGAAAATCCCCTTCTGATGATGTATCTTGAAGGTGGGAGGAGCTTGAAAACTACAAGCAACTACAAGCATGAGCTGACTTCTTGGAAGCCAGATAGGTGATGTTACTACTATGAACCTGAATATCATGACTGTATTTGTTAGTCTCTACATGTGTGGATTATTTTGTGGGGGGGGGGATTCTAAATGTGTCTGTGACATAGTTGCATAATGCATGCTGGGTATTGTAGTAAGAAAATGTTGATGGATAAAAACATGAAAAGGATACAAAATTGTGAATTCTGCCAAACCGATGAGGCTGAAGAGTACAGTAAAGCAGTAAGAGTAAGGTGCTGAGTGGCGTCACTGTCTCTGGTGGCGTCCACCTGGTGTATCAAGCCTGTAGCCTTATAAATTTAAATATCTTCCTAGACTAAAATATATTCATGCTATTAGAATTTACATTCACATTTTCAGATTTCAAAAAAAACATCCGGGTGTCTTACAGGCAAAAGCAGTTGATGAATGAAGTTTGAATATTTCTGTTAAAATGGCCAGTGAGTGCAGGTACAAGGAGTTGGAGGGGAGTAGGAAGAGACTGCAAGACACCCGAAGGTTATTTTGAAAGTCAGCCCAAAAATGCGCATTAATAAAAAAAAACTTTTTATAAATTGAATTTCAGATTATCCATTTAACATCAACCAAAAAATTCAGTTTCACATTTTATATTGCGCCATTACAAACCTTAGAATTCAATTTTACTTCAGAATTCAATTTCAGATGGTATGGCACAGATTCAGATTCAGATTTTTGCTTTCAAAGTCAGATTTATATTTGCATGACTAAGTTCATAAGAACACCTTCTAACACAGGTACTCACTGGTTTAATATATACTAGTAATGATGAGATCAAGCAAACGTCATACAGATTTTGGTGGTTACTGACTTTTGAATTGTCTTGTACATGTCTTGGATAATCATCTGGACATTTTGAACACTTTAACTGAGTTATTTTTTTTAAAGACACTAAAAATTAACATGGCAAGACAAAAAAAACAGCATATAACAGTATAAAGAATATTATAAAATATTCTTTAATATAAATGAAAGAAATATGTTTTCAAATGTTACTTTAAAGTGAGCACTGAGTGTGACTGTCTAATAAAGGTGAATTG